GGAAAATGCAGGGTGGAAACCAAACAGCCAGGCAGCGTGGAACTCAGCCAAAGCAGTTGCTAATTCAACTTTTGGGAACAAAAAACAACAAGTTGAAGAAGTTCAAAATATCGTTTTGAATGCCTTGAGAGTCTTCAGGCTAAGGGCGCAACACACTCACACGTTGCAGGTGGGAGATGAGGCTGGGTAAAACCTTTTGTATTTCCAAGATTTTCCAAGTAATCAACATCTTTTTCTTACACAAACCAACATCACACTATGACTTATGGTGCTGAATAAGTACCCACCTACACCACACTTCTGGATGAGGTGTGGTTGAAAATCAAATTCTGTCACCGCCAAGTGATCCACATGTTCCAGCGCTGCGAAGAGCGCCCATGTTGATCATTTGAAGTGAAAGAATTCACAATGGCTCCCTTTATTCACTTCTGTTGTCCAAACTGTTTTGTTGTTCTGAGTTTTAGGCTTGCCAAAGGTACTTGTTCAGCACCTTGCAATGTTGAGGCCATGGCGAACATCTGGTTGTCAAAGAGGTTGGAACCTTAGAGAACCACAGCGTCAACGAAACATGATGCAGTTGCTTCACTTGGAATTGAAAGAAGTCACAGTAGAGCAGCGCCCCTATTTTTCGATCACTTATTCGCCGGCGATGTGCTGGAGCCAGATGATGAGGATGACGCCTTTGCCTTTGCTTGCTTTGCCTTTGCTGCCGCTCCCTTTGCTGCCGCCCCCTTCTCTTTGGCCTTCGCCTTCTTTGTTTCCGACTCGGGAAACTGGCCTTCTTCTTTGGCGTCTTCTTTGGCCTTCTTCTTCTTTGGCCTTTGCCTTCTTTGGCGTCTTCTGCCTTGCTGCTGCAGGTTCCGGCTCCATGGCCTTTCTCTTCTTCTCTGATGCTTTGGCGGCTTTTTGGGCCTCAAGACACGAGACGGCAAGGAAATGATTGCAAGGATGCCATAAGTTGAAAGTTAAAGAAGTTCATGGGCCTCCTTCGCAGCTTGCACTTCTTCAGCACGCTTTTGCCGCCTCGTTTCCCTTGCCTCGCAGGACAGTGGTTCGTTGTTATATATAGATATATCTTCCAATGAAGGAGATGCGCTGGTACTTGTCCTGTTTTGCTTGCATTTTCTATGTTCTTTATGGTACTTGTTCAGCACCAGAAAGAAAAACACGCAAGCAAAACAGGACTTTTCTATGTTCTGTATGGTACTTGCTCAGAACCAGAAAGAAAATCAAAGCATGCAAGCAAAACATGACATTTCTATGTTCTTTATGGTACTTGTTCAGCACCAGAAAGAACATAAAACGTGCAAGCAAAACAGGACATACACTGTGCACAGCCTTCAGCAGATCTCTCAGCTCAAGGAAGCCCTGCCAGGACAATGAAAATGCCAGCGAAGCTTCAGCAATGTTGTCAGACAAACACATGGAAGAATTAGAATGAGATGGTGCTGGAGCAATCAAAAATGCCTCGCTAGTAATTGGTGAAGACCTGGCCTCCGCTTGCAACTGGTAAGCCTCCACCAGCTGCCGGAATCCCTGACAATGACGCTGCTCAAGTTCAAGCACGTCGCAACTTGTTTCTAACAAGGTTGAACTTTCACTGTCATGCACGAAACAAGTCACACCTTCTTGGTGGTCTCTGTCAGGCCCTCCACCATGTGCTCCACCTTCAGAGTCACCGGCGGCTGTCCAGCTGCAGCGGGATTCCCTTCTCGTCTTTCTCGCAGCTGAGCCTGTGCAGAGCTATCATCAGCAGCAAATGTAAAAATTAACGCTTTACAAGAATTCCTTCATTCAAACTCTGGGTTGCAATGAAAGGAAAGGTATGAAGCATTTAAACGGTTGACTCACGCCTCCAACTGATGGATCCTGGCATTCAGCCCGAAGATCTGCCCATCCTTGTTCCCCAGCTGCGATGCATACGCGGCCACTTGTTGTCGAAGACCACGGATTTCCGCCGTCTGCTCCTCACAGGTCTTCTTGAGCCAGTGCATTCCTTCTCTCCTTTCCTGAGCTGGTGTCGCGTGGCGTCCGCGCTTCGGTTTGCCACTGTCGGGGATCTGCTCCTGCTTTGGCTTCGGCTGCTGCTGCTGCTGCTGCTGCTTTGCCCTTGTTTGTGGATCTTGTCCTGCTCTTGCACCGGGGGCTACTCTTCCGGGAGGCAACGGACTTCCCGTGGGTGCATCTGGTGGGGTGGGGCTGGACGCGGGTGCCTGTGCTGCTGGCTGGCCGGAGGCCTGTGGCGACGCTGCCACTGGTGCTGAGGCTGGGCTGGATGCCATTGGTGCTGTTGGGGGCCCAGACGCCGCCGCCTGCGATGCCGTTCGCGGAGGCGCAGCTGCCGTCATTGGGGCGCGGGGCTGCGGTGCTGCCTTGGGCGCCATGTTTTTGGGTGCCTCTCCAACTGATCCTCGAGGCTGAGGCTGCCGTGGCCTCGTCCGTAGTGTGTTGTAAGTGGCTTGGCACTTTTTCAGCGCCAGAAAAAGGTACTTCTGCAGCACCTTTAATGCGGCCTCCTTCAGATGCAGGCATGGCGTAGGTGCAGTGTAATGTATGTTAAAAACAGGGACCATGTCTGAACTCTTTCACATCCATGTGATCACCATCGGTACTTTGGCAGCACTGCAAATGGCAACCACTGGCTGTGAAAGAGTTTGTTTTGACCGCGCCTCATCTCCCACCTGCGTCGTGTAATGTGTGTGAGTGTGCATGCATCCTGCAGTGCAAATGACACTCTTAGAGCTCTTGTGGTACTCAATCGGCGCCAACTAAATTGAACTTATTTCAGCTGGGCTGACAAGATGGATTTGTTTTTCACCTCAACTGCATGTAATCTGATTCTTACATCCATATTTTGCATAAGATAATATATAAGTTATATGAATTCCAGGAACCAAGTATACAAGTACAAAGGCACTGCTCTCCTTTTCTAGGTTCCTGGCCCTCTGCGCCATGTCTGTGAATAAGGCTGCCCTCACCCCCCCCCTCCTGGACTGGCCATATGACGTTTGCAGTGAAACATGTTCTTCTAATGTCCCAAGATTCACTCTTAGACCCATCCAAAAGCCCCCAAATACCAGATATATATACCAGATATATCAGATATGTCTGCTTCAACAAGAGACCGTGCATCAATTCCAGAGCCAGGCACTGCAGCCTCAGGTTTTCAGAGACTTGTCTCTGTGACACTCTCTTTGTTCACTTTGTTTTTGGAACCTCCATTGAAAAAGCAACCCCTTTCAACCGTTTCAACCCTTGGAAACATCAACCTCATTCCCATGGTTTGGAAGGATTTGACATATGGTTTGCGGCACTTTTGGCAGTGCCCACAAACCATATGTCATTTCCCACAAACCATGTGACAAACCTTTGTGATTTTTCCAAGAACAATCTCCAAGCAAGTAACTTCAAATATGCAAAATTGTGGTTTCTATCTCGCTGCAACCTGGTTGTGTTTTTCCAATTGCAATTTGCAAACAAATCTTTAAAATGCAAATCTGTGGTTTCCACTTCGCTGCAATCCAGTTTTTATGTTAGTTTTTTCAATCACCTTTTTCAACAAGTTATCTGCCAAAAAGCAAGATGGCAAATCATGGCAAGGGCCTAATTGAGTGGTAAGAAGACCCTCCATCATCCACTATCCAAGTGCCGGACGGAACACAAGACCCTCCCCCTTTCACACAATATATAGTCCTGAGATCTTGGACATCTCTCCCACATCTCTTTCTGTCAAAAATCTGACTACACCGTGTGACAGTAATCATATCCCAAACACAAACACATTGGCCGGCCCGACAGAGGTCGAGGTGAACAGTCAGCCAGGTGGATCAAAGCGGGAAGGGGCGTTGGCCACACTGGGGGGGGCAAAATATATTTGCAAAACTTTGACAATATTGGCAAAACATTGATTGACACGTGTTTAAGTTAGTTAGATCACTCATTTTGCCTTAAAAGGCGATACTCCTCACAGCCAGTCCCTTGGAACCACGTCTACCTGTCTTCCGCCGACGACCGCGGGTAGCGGCGCAGCCCAGTGGCGTTGCCCAGCATGGCGGCGCAGCCCAACGCGCTGGTGCCCGAGATGTTGGCCAGGCACTTCACCCGCTTCGAGACGCCCTCCGGACCTCTTCGGGCACGAAAACGGGGTCGACCGCCTCCCGGGGAGATCCCGGAGCTCAGAAAAAAAACAAACCTGCGAAGTGCAGGTGGTCCGAATCCTGGACATGGTTAGACCACCAAAGAATACCAATAATGATGATTAATGAACGCCTGCCTTTTGATTGTAACCATCTTATATACTATCATATACCATTTGATTGTAAGCCAACATGTTGCAATATGTTTACAATATGTTGGACACCAATAATTATTAATGATGAAACGCAAGCTTTTTTGATTGTAACAATATTGTATACTATATTGTCATACTCTAGTGTGTGGCCCGCAAACTAGGTCGCCCAAGAGCTTTATCAGGCTATAATGCTTTAAATTGTGTTAATATGTGTTCATACTTGTTTTCATATGTTTGACGTACTACAGTACATCATACTACCCTTCCCACCCTGGATGACCCCGCTGCAGCCAAAAGGCGCAGCAAGCTCACCTGGGCAAAGCCACATGGGCCAACATTCTCAGTGTCACTCTAGACTCTATCTGCACCCCTTGAAACCACCAGTCACCCACACAGAGGACTTGGGGTATTTGTGTAGGTCATCCAAAGTTCTAATCGGATAACATGGATCACCAACAGCTACGTGATAGAATCATCAGATTCCTGCATATCCCAGCACACCAACAGTTGCAAGCACAACGCATATAATTATATATATATTAAGATGTGTGAAACCCATTGGTTTGGCACGAATGGTTCTTCCAATACATGTTGTATTGGTTCCTTTCCTTAGGGAGGGAGAGAGAGAGAGAGAGAGAGAAAGAGAGAGAGAGAGAGAGAGAGAATGCAAAGACAGCTCCTTGACAAATATCAGCTGTTGGTGGTCACCACTGAGGTTGGCTCATGTTTTGTTGATGTTGCTCACCACGTTTCCCCACAAGGTCCATTCTTCGGAGAACAAAGACAAAAGCCGCAGTAGTGCGATTTTGGGCTCAATCATCCAAACATTTGCAAATTCACGGGCGCCTTGCTCCCCGGAAAAGAAAGGTTAACCAAGCTTTCCACCCGTTCTTCTTTAGTGACGCGGGGCGTCCCCAATCCCGAAAAAAAGAAGGTGTTGCATTTTTTTGCAAGCTAGATTCCTGGCTACATCTGGCTACTAGTAGGCTTCACGACCTGTAGCACTCCCCGACTAACTAACATAGACACTGACGTCCTGGCCCCCTGGGTCTGATGGTTTTCCTCTACCACGTCCATGGGATCATCAGTCCTAGGCCCTTCGGGGCAAACATCACCGTCAGCGGCGCGGGTGATTTTTTCAGGGCCAGGTGCATAGGCCTGAACGCCTTTGAAGCATAACGCCAAGAGTCCTTCGCAGCTCGAGATTGGTGGTTAGGCTGTATTTACCAAGCAGTCCGGGGTGCTGTCAAGTTCAGTGGTCAATGCAAGGCATACATGGCGCATCCCAATCCATCCCAATCCCATCAAACAGTAGTTGGTCTTTGTGAGGGTTCTTGACTGGTGGAGATATGAGCTGGCCAGTTCATTCTTAGCTTTCTGGCGCGCCCAGGTTGGCGCATGGCTGCCCATGTTGCCATGAATCTGCTGACCTAGTTTGATGAATTCATATCAATTCAATTGGCATCATAGGATCTTCAGCCTCGCAACTTCATGTGGCTCTGTCCAATACATTGGGGTCATGGGAACATCATCACGGAGTTTGTGGCCAATGCTTCTCTTCGATCGGCCGAAAGCCATATGTCTTAGCTGACAAAATCAGCTGCCTCACTGAGGTGTTGGGAATGCTCCAGGGCCCCAAGGACTCCAGTCTCCGCCCCTTCCATCACCCCCTCAGCCCCTTGAAACTGCAAGGGGATGTTGGCTGACCGAATTTTTCCAACAGAGTTTCTGGAACCTGCACGCTTGAAATTGATATGCAAACCTGGTTTCTCGCAGCTACGTAATGGTAGCACCGGTTACTGCTGCACATCGGAGAATTCATGGGCGAAGGTGCCAAGGGGACTCCCAGTCGTGCCCGTACAAGGCCATTGGGCGACCGCGCTGGTCGTAACAGCACGACTGGCCACTTACGCCTCCAGAATCATGCTAGTTCTTCAACACCGCTTTGGAACAACTGGGTTACCACAATATGGATCTCCCTTTGATCATAGACTATGCATTCTGTAGCTTCACAGGATCATATCGGCCAGACCACCTTGCGGCTGAGCTGGGGCATTGATGTCGGCGCGATGCTGCACCAGCAAGTGCGTGATCCTCAGCACATCCAAACAGACTCCCTGCTTCCATCGGACCTCCTGGACGGTGGCCACGGGTTCCTCGTTGGTGTTGGACCACTGGTGGAACCCCAAAACCACATGGGTTGGTATGAGGAAAATGGTCGAAACCACAGGTCAATTCACAGGGTTCCAAACACTCCTGATGCGACTGGAATACATGCCGCCCCCATTGACCCCTGAAATCAACCACCCCAACTGGCCCAGCTGATCGGCAAATATGGCAGTCCCATATGGAGTGTCTGGGATAGAAATGTTCGAAGCAACATCTACAGAAAAAGTCCCTGCTCCCCATTCAAACAGTTGTTTTACTGCAGAAGGTCCTACAGAAAGAAATCCCGTGAACTATATACTTACTGTAATTATACTTATACAACAGGCACCTTGAAAGTGGACTTGGAGGAGAGGTTCCTTCCATACAATACCAAAGGTGTTTTAATGTCTTGGTGCCCTTTTGAGATGTTGTGCATCGAATCAGGTGCTCTTAAAGAACAAAGTGATCAAAGGAACACACAAATCCTCTTGCACCAAATCTTGGCCAAAAATTGAACCTTTCAGATTACTAAGAGTCATCAATACTAGGGATCTCAGTGATCTCAGGATCTCACATGATGAACAAAAAAATGGATTCTCACAGGATTCTTCTTACCTCTCCTCACCTTCCCTTGCTCCTCAGGATCCTCACCGCCCCTGTTTTTCCTCTCCACCGGAGGGGGGCTCCCCGTAGCTCCCTTCCCGAAGCCAGCGGCTCCACCGAGTGGGCGTTGCCGATGGAGAAGAGCGCCGCGCCGAAGATCGGACCGTGGCCTGAGGAGCTCGGCCTTCGGAGCGTTTGGTTTCGTTTCTTTCGACCTCCGGAAAAGGACCCGGGCTGGGAAGGGAGTGAAAACAAAGACACCCCATTGGGTAAGAGGATGTATTAGAAAGAAAGATGTCAATAGGGATGAGGTCCCAGTATAGTCGCTATACAGGTACATGCCATATACTTTTGGCTCAAGTGCCCAACCAGGTAAAAAGGAGCTTTAGCGCGCGAGCTTCATGTTGAACTAAGGGCTAGAACGGGGCCAGGGCACACCTTTCCATCCGTTCGCAGGTTATCAGCCGTATCCAGACTCCTTTGAGCTGGGTACGAGCTGCGGCCTTACACAACACCATCTAAACGCACACGCATCGGATAGATCAGTTACCCTCAGTCACTGAAGATGGACCAATCCGACGCCAGCACTGCATCTTTTGGAGCAGCTGCTGCGGCCGCAGATCGGATGAGTGCATCCCACAACTCTAGCCCAGGTACGATCGAAGCGGAGACTCTGACAGTGGTGAGAGAAGTTGCGACAGGTAGAGCACGAAGTCGTTCCCCGTCAGCGCACTCGACGCCACCATGGGGGACACCGAGATCAGGCCGTAGCCCTAGGGAGACGAGGAGGAGGACTGACACCGGAGCTGTGAGAACGTTAGCATTGCAGGATGGGTCAGCTGTACCTGTGCCGTCGGACAGCGAAGCTGGAGATCGAGCAAGGGCAAGCACTGACAACCTACAACTAGCACGGGCCGATGGAGACCTGAATGCGAAGTGTGCGCAACTACTTGCCGAAGTGCATATGTTGAACCACCAAAACGCATGGATGGTCGAATGTGAGCAGAGACAGAACCAGATTATACAACACGAAACCGAAGTCCACGAAGTAGTGATGGCACACCTCGAAGAATGTTATGTCGAAGGATATGGAAATCAACGAAGAATCACCCAACTTACAGAATCCAGAGACTGTTTGCTCTCAGCAGCACACGACCTGCAATACCAGATGGACACTGATCGTGTGGCAATGCGGGATCGTCTCACCCAGTTAGGGGAGTACGCTGATCGCAACAGCGCAGAGATGGTTAGTCAAGTTGTGAACATCGGCACGGAAGAGATCCAGGCTATATCGGCAGAAAGAGATCGAGCCGTAACCGAGGTCATGACTACACTCGCAGACGCTGAGAACGTCAAGGACCTGTGTAGACAGGAGTTAGTTGGACTACAAAGGCAGAGTGCCAGAAACAAACACGAATATGCTGAAGAGATGAAGATGAGGGAAGCAATATATGCAAGCAAGATCAAATGGTTATCAGAAGAGAATGAGGAGCTCAACAACCGATCTAATACTCAGGACAAGTTCATCTTGAGTATCAGAGAGCAATTGAAGAAGGCGAACGAGGAGTTGACTCAGACGAGGATTCAAAGATCCGATCGATCTTTTCAACCATCCAGCGCCGAACTCAAGAAGGCCGAAGTCAAGGTGAACATGTTGGAAGAGGACATTCTACGTAAAGAGAGGATGCTGAAACGTCTTCAGGAAGAATTGATCGAATCAAGCGCAAGTGAAGCACAATTGAAGGTCGCACTGAAGTTGAAACCACCAGACATGGGATCAGAACCCAGTGTGGAGAGTGAGATGATGACCAAGCTTAGAGCGGAACTTGAACGTACTGAAAAGTCATTAAGGTCCGAGGAGAAAGAGGCAATCGAGTACTACGAAGGTATGATGCAGAACCAACAGGACATGATGGAATTCGAAGCGCATGCATCACGGCTCAGAGATGAGAGGAATAAGTACCGGAAGAGGTACGAAGAGGAGCGCATGAGTGCAGAGAATGCAGCCGCAACCGAACATGGTGCCGCTTCATCCTCCAGCTCAGGTGGCTCCAAGATATCTCGGAAGGAACACGAGAAGATCAACATCCCTGCATGGCCCAAGATACACGACCTGGAGGTTTGGAAATCCCAGGTTGTAGCGGCAGTCGTGACGGCATCGGGCGACGAGAAACAAGAAGACTGGATCCAATGGCTCTCGGATGCCTTCAGATCACCATATGACCCATTTCTACTCGAGACATCAGGCGAGGCAAGATTCGCTAGCATAGACGCTAAACTAGGTATCACCCTACACACGACCATCCACGCAGCAGGTGAGAGATCTCATGACGTACAACTGAAGGTGAGACAGATGATGCAGAGACGTGCGAGAGGCACAACTCCTGGAATGGTCAAGGGACGAGAAATGTTAGCGTTGATCGTCGATAGTTTCCGGAGTGCCGACAACGTTGATGTGATGTATGCATCCAAGCACTTATTCGATCTAAAGTTCCCTGGGGATAATCAACTATCCAGATTCCTTGGACAGTGGGATGAGATCATATCAGGTATGGATGCGGATGACATGCTTCCTGACAAAGCACTTCGCAACCTGCTTTGGGATAAGATTAAGGATTCCAAAGCCATGGCGTTAGACTTGTCCGTGTATGACAACATGTTGGATAAGGATCCGGATAAGACCTACCAGAAGTTACGAGAGATCATGACGAAGTGGATACGGAAATCAATCGAGACCACAAACAAGAAAGAAAGGGAAAAAGCTTTTGGGAACATCGTGAAAGCCACACCAGCGGCGGAGAAGAAGGACCCTAAAGCGAAACCCAAGAATACCAAGGCCGATCCACCGAAACATGACGCCGCTCCAGTACTTCCTCAGGCTAATCCGAAGGACCACAACAAGAAGGACAAGAAGCAGGATCGTGGAAGATCAACCACGAAGAGCCCAAAAGGGGATCGTGGCAGGTCAGCGACTCCAGCAGATACGTCCAAGATAGGATGCGCTTTCCACTTCCATGGGAAAAACGGATGTTCTAGAGGAGACAAATGCAAGTTTAGCCACCAAGAGAAGCACAAAAGTTCTGCTAAGAAACCAGAAAGCCTCAAGGGTGACAGATCAAAGAGTCCTGGTGGCAGGAGCAGTAGCCCTAAGCCAATGAAGGATCAGGTCTGTTGGAATTGGCAGAAAGGATCGTGCAAGTTCGGGGACAAATGTCGACGTCAGCATCACGCTGCTCCTGCTACAAAACAAGAGGCTAAAGGCAAAGCCAAGCCCAAACCGGCTGCGCCAGCCTTCATGCTTTGCGGAGACATCGAGAGTGATGACGAGGACGTACAACCCGCACTTCCCAACGTACAACAAGGTGAGCTGGCGCTTCGCTTTAAAGTCAGATTTGATGACCAGGCGAACGTGACCACGTTCACCTGCGACCCTGGTAACGAGCTAAACATCCGTCCCCTCAGGAAGAAGAAGAATGAAGTGCAGAAGATGGATACCGAGTTCATTTCGTCGTTGAGAGCCCTCAGAGTGAGCAATATAGCTGCACGAGTAGCACATGCCAAAGGTAAGATGATGGAGCTATTCTCTGCTGAACACATTGCCAAGGCATGGATACAAATCACTCAAGATGAAGGAATCGAGGTGAACGTCGACCTGTCTGATTTCAACACCAGCGAGGTAGTAAGGAAGGATTCTGTCAACTACACGATACCAGGAGACACGATGTTCATGGCTGTGGAGAGGTATGATGGACCACCAATACGCTTCATCATGGACACGGGATGTGGACACGATTTGATCTCAAGAGAGAAAGTCAATGCCATGGGCCTCACCACCAAGGAAGGACCCAAATCCGTGAGCTTCATGACAGCGAATGGTGTAACTAGTACATCAGAGATGGTGGACATCAATGTGGACGAACTACCCATGAAGTCCGAGGCACACGTGTTGGAGAGCACACCATCAGTCTTTTCCATCGGGAAACGGTGCATGGAACAAGGGTACTCATTCATATGGCCGGCAAATCAATTGCCATACCTCATCGACCAGAACGCGAACAAGATTCCGCTATCGGTGCATGACAACATACCCTACATCAAGGTGAACGATGATGACGGGAGATGCTTACCAAGACCAGACGGCTTGGCTACGATACTTCATCGCATACTGTCAGGTGTGGGGCATGAAGACGAGGCCACAGCAGGTCAGGAGACACAACAAGAGGAACTTCCGCCCAAGAAACCACGGAGACGGAGGAGAAAGAAGAAAGATAACCAGAGAGATCGGAATGGTGAATCTGATATCAATCCAGCTGTTGCAGGCGTCGAAGGAAAACCAGAGGAACACGGTGATGACAGGTATTCTCCTGAAGAGGAATATGAAGGGGAAGACCCGAGATTCGATCGTGATCACGATGGTCAACCTGAAGAAGCCGGAGACGACGAACATGGAGGTGATGCGGATTCTGAACGAGAGGAGAGTGACATTGGTGAAGATGAAGAGGGACTATTGGAAGTCGATGTGGTTGACGGGGAAGCCAGACTATCAAAACCAGGAGTGCTGAAGAACGAGGCGAAATCCATATTGCACTTGATGACGCACCGATACAAGAACCCATACTGCAAGTCATGTGTGAGAGCAAAGATGAAGCACTATAAGACTAGCAAGGGAGCTTTCAAACGGAAATTGAAGGCATTCGGTGACCTTATCACTTTCGATCTCATGAACACTCAGAAGATGGCGAGAGATGGGATCATGCCGGATAAGGACATATTGGTGATTCGAGATCGGTTCACCGGCGTGATATGGGGCTATCCATTGAAAGCAAGCAATAGTGACGAAGTGGTGCAGGCAATGAAGCACTATATCGGTAAGAGAAAGGTCACCAACGCTTACTCGGATGATGCGCCACAATTCGAATCAGCACTCAAGGAACTCCGGATCCCACTAGACCAGTCGCTTCCAGGACATCCCCAGAACAATTCACTCGCCGAAAGAAACAATCAGTTCATGATGCTTACCACATCGACATGCCTACTAGAAGCCGGACTACCACCATGTTTTTGGCCATTTGCGGTGGAATGCGTAAGCCATTTATTGAACATCGAGAAGCTGAGCGATGGCAGCAGTGCATGGTTGAAGTTACACAAGAGCGAATTCCCAGGCATGGTG